GTTCCTAGTAGTAAGGCCAGGAGCCCCTAGTAGCGTCCTCTGGTTCCGGCAAAGGCAGACCATCCAAAACCGCTCACGAAATTGCGTGGCCGCACTCCGGCGATGCTGGGACCTTTGATTTCCGTATTCTCTGTGCTCGCCTTGGTGCTTTGGGTAAGGTTTTTTGGCTTTGTTCATTTAGATTTAATCTACTATGTTAAACAGGTCAATGGTTTCCAACAGACCCGGCCCCACAACAAAGATTTCAGCCGTCATACCAAATCCTTTAGTTTGGCTTCGCACGAATCAATCATTGTCTCATTAGTATCTTTTGAAAGCCTGTAGTTCTCTCTAGGTGTGTTTTGCCGAAACTCGCAGCGTTGGATAAGGTTCTTTTGCTTGCAAGGGCTGAGTTTCTTAGTGGTAAATCAGCTGCAAATTCTTGAATGCCCTCGCTTGGCCCTTTTGCCTAAGAGCCGATGCCAACATTTAGTGCGTTTGCGCTTTGTTCGTAAAAGCTATTGCTGTTGATTTGAATGTTTTTTTCTTTCACCACCCTGTGAATGCAACGAGCTCACCGTAGTTTTTGTCGAGAACGAGCAGGGCCGCGTTGCTTTTGGAGAAGACTTGAATCCAAATCGTGGGGGAAGGTCATGATGTAAGGGCATCGCTACTAGGAGCAAGGACGCTACTAGGAGCTTTTTCGCATCGTGGGGGAAGGTCATGATACCCCTTTTCAGGGAAGGTTTGAAAGATCTGATCCCAAGACATGGTGACGGGCTGGACATCCAACTCTATCTCAATATAATGTTTGAGTGAGGCTGCGATGGGGTCCACAGCTTTGATTCCAAGTGATCACTGAACAAGCGGGGCTCAAAAATAGAGTCAATTCCAAAGTTGCCATCGCCCTCTTCCATGGCCATAGGATGATGTTGCGAGCTTCAAAGTTACAGGCAAACACCATTGAACAGATGGCCGGAAGTCTTTTTGATGCAGGCACAAATGTTAAGCAATCGCACATCGCCCAGGTTTTTGGAACAGTTGTTCAACTTTTCCCGATTTTGTTATGATTATGTTCACCGTGTGTTTGCTCTTGAGCACACCCACTCTCGAAAACTAGGTTTTTTGGCCAGAATGTTCCACGTGTCTCCGTGGCGAGAAAACAGGAAACAAAACACGTTTGCAGAAACAAACACGTTTGTGCATCGCTTCTAGTAACAAGTGCCTTACTAGTAGTAGCAATGTTCGCTACTAGGGGCTCCTGGCATCGCTACTAGGAGCAAGGACGCTACTCGGGGCTCCTGGCCGTACTACTAGGGGCAAGAAGCTACTAGGAACAACATTTGTTTTGTCCCGCGAGGGCAAGGGAAACCATGCAAATCCCAAGGCCTCAAGAAACATCTGAAGATTGGTGTCGCGAGGCGGAACATGTGCAACATCAGCTCTGAAAATAGAACTTTGCAAGATTTTTAGAATACATATGACAGTGTTGCAAGTTTCTCCAAATGCAAACAGCTGCAGTTGCAACACTCAACACAGCTGCACGCTCTCAATTTTGTGCTTTGCTGCATGTGTTAGGCACGAAATCTGGACAGAAAGGCCCTGGCTAGACTCTTGCGTGACCTGAAGGACTTGGGGAACCCTGGGATCCTGCAAGTTGTGGAATCAGTGCCTAGTAGGTGAGTAACAAGGACATCTCTCATGATTTCTTTCAATATGAAAGATCATCTTTGGTCTACATTTCCCTGCCCATTTGTTGTTTAAGCTACACGAATTGTAGATCAAACCCTGTAACTGTTCTGCTGACAGAAAGCTAACCATGAGAGCTCAATAGAACATACAGAACGGGAAACCAAACGGAAACGGGAAGGCGTTCCATTTCAACTTCTCCCCGAAACACACACATGCTAAGCGTCGCGTTGCTCGAAGCGCACTTCACCCAGGATCGCTTAGAAAAGGAAGAGGTCAGAACTTTGGCCGTTGAGGTTGGTGTGAAAGAACGGGCCGCTAGTAGAAAGAGGTATAGCTAAGAGGTATAGTCAGTCTGTGACAGCTTCTCAGCAGTCTTAGCTAGATCTCTTGATCTTTCATAGCTAGCTTAAACATTAGCTTTTTGCTTAGCGATTTACGGACGAAATAGATTGAAACGATTGGCTTCTTCAAGGACACGAAGGAGAAACCATTTTTCGGCCCATTGAAGAAGCCTAGTCTAACCAGCCTGGCGTCGTAGCCTTCGTTCTTCTCTTGACACTTTAACTAGACTAGTCTATAACTTTTGCTAGAATATATAAGACCTTAATGAATTCCTGTCAGGCCAAGCTTCCTCAAACCATTTGGCGTTGATCCCAACCGTTTGAGCGTGCCAAGTTTGATGCTTACACCACTTGAAGCGTCTGAAACTGAAAGCATTCAAGGTCCAAATTTGACAAGCTCGATCCATTCTCCAGAGCTAGCAGTCTGTCGAAGGCCAAGGTGCCAATTGTCTTGGATTTGCAAATTTGCAACATCGCTTCAAGGTTGGAGGCCATCGATATTAGGTCTTGACAGTGTGAGGCTTGTGGGTGGTATCACAGCAATGCTGCTGGTGCAGTGAGCCAGTCAGAGCCCTCCATTTCTATGCCAAGGCCGATGAAGATACAGCATGCCACGAGACTTGAGACTATTTCTGATACAGGAAGGCTCCTTTTAAACGGGACCTGTTGCTTTTGGGACCCACGTCCACCTTCCTTTGTTTTTTTTTTTTCTACCGTTGTTATTCTGTTTACCTTCCTTTGGAATCGGCAGCGCACAACCGGTGTTGACTGTCAACATTCTGCGAAGGAAGCCTCCAGCTCCAGCAGCATATCCATACGCCACGGTCCTTCCAGAGCCTTTGTGGATCTTCCGTGAGACTGTTCAAAAGGAAAAAGGAAAAGAACGATAGAAGAAGAAGAAGCCTAAAGAAAGGAGGACAACAAACACTTCAGTCTTTTTTTTCAAATGTTCATTCAGGTTCACAGTCTGAATTTTACAACTTTGAGAGTTCACACTTCGTGCCAGGCAGCTGTGGATCTTTGAGAGCGAACAACAAGCAGAGTTCAGATCTGGTACCAAACAGCGGTTCACATTTTGCTATTAGTAACAGGTGCATCGCTAGTAGTAACAAGAAGCTACTAGGAGCAAAGGGCATCGCTACTAGGATCAAGGACGCTACTAGTAGCTCCTGGCCTTACTACTAGTGACAAGAAGCTATTAGGCTGGAGGCCATTGCTATTAGATTCCTTATTCTACAAGGTTAGAGAGGCCATTACGCGGTTGCTTTCTCACAACTTACAACCGCTGTTTTCAGACTCCGAGCTCTACTCTGTTTCACCCAACCGTGGCCAAAGAATCCTGAAAGGATGCGAAAACACGAAGACTGTGACAAGAGACACACACAGCACACATGCCCATGTTTGGTTGTACATTTTTTGGAGCCCGAAGTTTTGTATGTAGTGACATTGATCGTCCTTTTTCCTCAAGTGTGGAGCCAAAAGACCAAAAGCTTTGTCTTCTTTGATCCACTTGTTTTGTGTCTCTCGGGCAAAAAGATTTCTCATGTTGTGTGTCTCCCACTTCTCTCGTCCGGTGTCTCTTCTCTAGATCCCGCTTTGTCGCCTGACAGTGGGGGAGAGAGAGAGAGAGACAGACAGAGTGACAAAGCCAAGGAGATGTGTCCAAAGAAACCACTGGAGAAGCTGAAACAAATGAATGAACATGGGAAGACAACAGAGGAGAAGTGGAAGTCAAAGGAATTTTGTCTTGAGTGTCGCTGCCTGCGGTTTTGCGACACTGGCAGACAGTGCGCTTTGTGCCTTCTGTCATTAGGAAGTCAGAAGAGAAGCTAGTAGGTTGGAGAGTTTGTCTTCAATCGTCGGTCTTGCTGATACGCTGAATGACGTCTCTTTGTTTGGCTAAATGACGTCGCTGATGAAGATGTGGGAGAATGGCAGGGGCTGCCGGAGATCATGGATTGGCGCCCCGAAGCGCCTTGGCCACTTTGGCCTCGCTCCAATTTCTACGAACTTCATGCTGGACCAAAGGATCCTATATCCGCAGCCGTGAGGCGAGCTTGCAGTAAGAAGCTAGCTCAGGCTTCTTCAAGGAAGCCAACTCTTCGCATGATTGTTTTGGTTCCTAGATCATTGGGGGGGCTCAACATGCTACATGTGGGCACAAAACAACATCTACGCTTGTGATGTGTGATGTGTGATGTGGGCGGGACCGTAGCCTCCTGGTCACACTTTGGGAATCGGATTGACCAGTGGATATTTTTGGGAAATACTATTCTTGTTAAAGGGGGCCATAGAGCTAGTAGTAGCTAGGGAGTCGGTAGCTGGTAGCTTCAAGAACTCTACTACGTAGGACGCAGGATAGCTCACGTTTCTTCAAGGAAGCTCCCCTCGCCGCCCTAAAGGCGGCGGGGGAAGCTTCCTTGAAGAAGCGCTCGCACTAATGAAGAACTGTTCCTAATGGCTTCTTGTTCCTAGTAGTACGGCCAGGAGCCCCTAGTAGCGTCCTTGCTCCTAGTAGTAAGGCCAGGAGCCCCTAGTAGCTTCTTGTTTCTAGATTTTTTTGGGACACTTAAGCTTGGCAGTTGAATTCTGTTAAAGTTTCACGACAGCTGGTAAGCGGGCAAGGCCCTGTTTGGCCAGAACCCAGACGACAACATTTGATTGCAACAAGGTAATTAACACAAAATTGGGGTGGAGGCCATTGCTACTGGTGGAGGCCATCGCTCTTAGGTTGGAGGCAATCGCTACTGGGTTGGAGGCCATCGCTACTAGGGATTGCAACAAGGTAACACAAAACAGTCACAGTATCACATGATGACAGGAGTCACTGCGCATTGCGTTTCACCTCACCGTTTGTTTAAGCCCGCTCCGCCCCTCCCTACTAGCATTTCCCTATCACAAATGGGTTGCAATTGCAACATTTGCGAGAGAACGTGCTACACTCGCATTCCTTTCAGCTTTACGCTCAAACGTTCAGAGTCTCGCACCAGCCCAGATGGCTCCGACTCTCGCAGCTGCGGTTTTTGCGGTTTGGCTTCCATATGCGGTTGCCGCCAGTGAAACCTGTCCAACCTGCAGTGATGACAACGAGTTGCTGCAGTTGACACGAGAAGCGGACGCCCATTTAGACAAGGCGCTGCAAGAAACCAACCTGAACTCTCCAGACGTTTAGAACTTTGATTTGGGATTTATGACCATTACTTTTTGTCAATGGAGGCCATCGCTACTAGGTTGGAGGCCATCGCAATTAGAAACAAAGGATAGAAGAACGACTAAAAACGCTCTTCATGTGAAGCACAGACGGGGATGATTGTTTAATGTTGGAATTGTGCAGAATGTTGTCGTGGGACGTGCCCTCCAGGACTCAGAGAGTGATCCTGACTCTGTGCGCTTCCGCATCTTTCCAGTGAATTTGATCCGGTCGTCGTTTTTCAAGATTCGAGCAAAAAAGAATGTGCTAACTATGGGTGGTGGAGGCACCCGTGCCATGTGTGGGACAACTGGACAATTAAGAGCCATGCACTCGATGGATTTGCTGAAGGAGGTGCTTTTGGGACATGACAATCATGACATAATGTCAGTGCACACTGTTTGAATATGTAACACATGTGGATGCATATGTGCTGTCAAGCAGCAAGAGCATCAGGTAGCGCCAACCCTAAACGAACATGTTTCGGACGGAGGCTTGAAATTCAATTCTTGGCCAATCGAATATGTCTTGATTGGTTTGGAGTCAGTTTCTTTTTAAATATTCTTCTGATTTTTACTCTGCAGATTTGGAGATTCGTCAGGTGGATCAAGTGGTTGCTATGTCGGGCAGCACGTGGTCGACGGCGATCTTTGCATTTGCCAAGGGCTTTTCAGTCAAGGCGCTAAGAAAGCCGGGCGGGACATGGGGCCCATCTGCCCTGAGTACCACCCGAGTAGCGATGGCCTCCACCCTAGTACCCGGTGTAGGGATAAATGTAGTGAAAGTGGTATTGTGCTTTGACCAAGGGGTGGCCCCAGAAACTGGCCCGGGTTCAGAAACTACTGGTGAATGCGCCTTTCATTCGGGGGCAGACTAATTGCGCAAATGCTTCAAAAATTACACCACCGTAGACCCCAAACAGGTGGGACAACAACAAAGCATTCCCAAGTCCACTTTTTGAGACATCAACAAGAAGGAAGACAAAAGAAAACAAAAGGGAGACAAGACGGACACAATGACCAACAAGAAGGGAGACAAGACCGGAGACAAAGAGGCAGAAGGGAGACAAGGTGGACACAAGAAGGGAGACAAGACCGGAGACAAAGAGGCAGAAGGGAGACAAGGTGGACACAAGAAGGGAGACAAGACCGGAGACAAAGAGGCAGAAGGGAGACAAGGTGGACACAATGACCAACAAGAAGGGGGACAACAAGGGAGACAAAAAGGTACGGAAGAAGGGAGACAAGACCGGAGACACAGGGAGACACACACAATGACCAACAAGAAGGGAAACAAGAAGGGGGACAAAAGGAAACAGAAGGGAGACAAGACGGACACAGTGACCAACAAGAAGGGG